GTCCATTTAACCGTCTGGGATTACTTCCCACCCTTCTGCCTCTAGGGTCCCCTAGACCTTCATTCAAGCCTCAGGCAGTTTCAGAGACCTGGGGCAGGGGGTGGCAGGAAGCTGCGTGCCTCCTTGGAGAGTTCCCAGGCAGTGCACACTGGCTGTACTCGCCCAGATCCCCTTATCGGCTGCCGCTCCAGGCGACGAGTCTGCGGGGTGAAACTGCCCCAAATCTGGGTCGCCGGGGTCCCAAAGGGATTGTTTCTGGTTGCGGTGGAAGGAGAGGAAAAAGAGCTGGGGTAGAAGACTAGAGCGAGCGAACAAGCTCCGAGGAGAGCGCGTTGGCACCCATCGCTTAGTCCAGAGAAGCCAGGTGGAGTCACCTGGTGTGCCTCACCGGAGCGCTAATGTCTTAAAGAAATAGAAAGAATCCCCTTCTTTCCTGAGCTCCTTCGCCGCCCTCGCCCCCTTGGTGATGGAGTGCACGCATCAGATTTTCATCAAAGTTCTATTAAGTGAAACATAGGTTGCAGGGCACCCTTTGATTGAAACAGTTTAAATTTTAATTGTGTTTTTAATTTGACATATAGTTGCAGAAAGGAATGACACTGCGTCGCCAAGGGGCGGTCGATTTTCTTAATTTCTCCCAGAGGAATTGATGAGTCTATCAGGCCACTAGATTGGAAACCCATTAAAGCTCTCTGGTTATGCCGTTAATTGGAACTTGATGGATGTGGGGGGGGCGGTGTCGGGACTCGGCTATGCTGATCCAATCTTCATGACTTTCTGTTTTCCAATAAATTACACAATTCATTTTCCAGCCGCAGATTACATAAATTGTACACCTCTGGGGCTCTCTTTTTCAAATAGGGAGCCCTTTTCCCCAAAAGCCTATTGCAAGATGTCATTTGCACCAAAGAACGAACAGCAGAGGTCCTTGAATGAAAATCGAAACATAATCAACGTTTATACTTAGAAAATTTATTGAGATCATTTTCTCTGGTATTTCCTTATTTTAAAGTTTGGACGCACCATATATCATAATCCACTCCCTTAAAGGTGGGGGGGCAGACTGTGTTTAATATTTATCGAAGCTTGATTCCAAGATCAAACTTGTTTATGACTTCATCTGTCATTTCGGAGGGAGCCTCCTTCCATTACCCGGCTCAGCCAGCCTATTTCCCAACCGCTGCAGAGCAGAGAGGATCAATTTTTATTAGGCTCCTCGGCAAGTTTGCTCTGGGCCGCTTTAATATTGAGCAGCGGCATAATCTCGAGATCTAAACTTTAAGCGTCCTTTCAGCCTCGGAGAGTTTATCATTCCTTAGAACCCGTTTGTGTCTAATTCCTAGGGAGGGGGCGATCCCCAAAATGAGGAGGGGCCATACTCCAGAGTTTGGGCTGTTGATCCGAACGCTGTAGGGAGGGGCGGAGCTATCCTTAGACTAGGAGGGTGGGGCGGGAGGTGGTACAGAGTTGAAAGATTGCCACACTTGAGGACTGAGAGACGGGGTGTCTGTGGGGGGTGGTTCCTAGAGCTGAGGGTTCCTGGGAGTGTGTTTTTTAGCTGTGCTGGACCCAGGAGAGGACGTCTGGGCCCTTGCGCTCTGGGTGAAGTCTCGGGGACCCCCGGATGCCTCAAAGGGTTGGCGGGAAGATCGAGTCTTGGCCTTCCGGCCCCTGCTGCGTGACTGCTACCAGTGCCCTAGGGGCCGTAGCCCCCGCCGGTGACCAGCTGAGAATTGCAAGGGAGACCCCAGAGGAGAGTCCTTCAGGTTGCAGAGCCAGGAGTCTGCCTGGTCTCTGCCATGGCCTCCCTGCCTCCGTCAGGCGCCCACCATCACTTCCCTGGCTCAGGGCAGAGTGTGAGTGAGTGTGTGTGTGTGTGTGTGTGCGCGCGCACTAGTCGGAGCTCAGCGAACGTCTGCTGACTCAATGCGTGCGAAGGCGTAAGCGTTTATGCAAGTGCGTGCGTACGGCTTAATGTGTGCGCGTCTGAAGATGTGCGGGGTGGGAAGGTGGCGTAGGCTCTGCAGGACTCACAGCGCGCCTCTGTGTAGACCAAACTGTCAATGCGAGGGGAGATAGCGAACAAACGGAGTACGAGGGAAGCCAGATGGCTCCTTTCGACTTCCCAAACTAGCCTGGGGTGAGGGGTGGGGCGAGGTTTGTGGGGTCGCGGGGCTGCGTAGTTTCCTAGTTTTGAGTCCCCAAATCAGTCCTCAAACCTCAGCACACCCCACCCCGCTACACTCCCCTCCCCACTCTCGCTACTCCTGGCCTTGGACCTGCTTCTCCGAGGTCCATCCCTAGAGGCCTGTCCACTGCCTCACATGCTCCCCGCTCGGGCAGAGGCCAACTCCTTGGGTCCTTGACCGCACCCATACATCTGCCTCAGCGGTCTCCAGATAGCAGAGGTCCTTACAGTCTCCCCCGCAGCCGTTCCCCAAACTCCGTGCCAAAGCCTGCTCCACCCCTCGTCCCTCCCAAGGGCCTGCAATTGGCAGTGGAACAACCTTGAGCTTCAATCTTCCCTACTCTGCTCGGGCTGGTCAATTTCCCCCACTGGGCCTCAGTGTCCCCGTCTGTACAACGGCGATGAAGATCTGCACCACAGGTTTGCTATGAGGATTAAAGTGAAGAATGATAGGACGCTCCCGGCGTGTTCCAGGTTGCTGGGGCCAAGTATTTACTAATTAGAAGGGTCCAACCAATGCTCCCCTCCCCCGCAACTCCCGTATTCTTCCCCAGAGGGGGCGGCCTCCACTCTCTGGGTTGGCCCATTTCCCTTGGGGTAGCGTCCGCCGGAGCCGCGAGACAGCGCCCACTCGGGGTACTTGAGGCAGGCGGAGAGGGCGCAGGCGGGTGAGAGAGTCGGCTGTGTCTTTCCAGGAACCTCCCCTCTAACCCCCAGCCATGCGGGAGCGCGCGGGACAGGCTGCGACGTGGCCCCCGAGCCTGCGCCGTGGCCGCGCAGAGAGGACGCACAAATTGTATTTCAGCGCCGGGTCCTTCCGGGTTAATGAGCTGACACCATGATTAAAGCTGACCATTTGTAATGTGTCTCGACCCCGCCGCCGAGCCCTGAAGAGGTTAATGCGGTGACGGAGGCCGGCACCTGCCCCTCGCCGGCCTCCCGGGCCGTGGCGCACAGCCCGTAGCCTCCACCCCCTCGCCTGCCCCTGCTCGGCTGCGCCGCCGACTCCTAATCAATTAGCCCATTAACGAGCCCTTCGAGGAGTTAAGTAGCGAGAGGTTCTGCCACGGGTAGGGCTGCAGTCGGTAACTCACCGCGGCTAATGATATTATAAGCGCGTTACTCAATAACCCCGCGCGGCGCGGGCAAGGAGGGAACTGCGCCGTCATGGTGCAGGGTCTGGACATTTGTGGGGACTGATTCTAGAGTCTCCTATCACCTTGGTTGCTTTTGGGGGGATATCCTAGGAGCGGGGGCTCCCAAGAGCTCTTGGTCCAGCAATCCCAAGGCCGCAGCCCCTGGGAAGGGGAAGAGGGACGGGAAACGGGGGAGAGTGGTCTTGCCTGAGCGCCTTGGGGCCTTACCTCACCTTCGTTTCCTCCATGCTTGTATGGACAACTGTGCCTCTGTACCGTTTTGCCGGCACTAGGCTGTTTCTAGACCCAGTAACAGCCGATCCGGGAATTACAGGGGCGAGAGCCAGGGCTTAGAGGAGGCCGCTCGGAGGGAACGAACCACGGTTTATTGAACACTTACCCGCGCCTCTGAGATGGCCACTTTGACCTAACCTAACTTCTTCGAGGTAAGCATTGCTTCCTCTAATTTTAGGAAGGGAGGAAACCAATGCTCAGAAAGTTTTAGTAGCATACCCAAAGCTACCCAGATGAGATTTGAATCAACTTTGCCTAATTCTAAAACCATAACCTGTTCTCGCCTTCTTCCTACATCAAAGAGCTTCTATTTCTGCAGCAATTCCGTGGTCTGCAGTCTTTGCCAAAACTGGAAAATCACTTGTGAAGCCGAATGTGGGCTGTGGGCTAGCCAGCAAAAGTTTACAGAGTACCTACTATGGACTCCTAGTGCTTCTGGGCTTTCCACGCCTTTTCCACTCCTACCTAATGCCATCCTCAAAACAGGGGAAAGGAGGAGGTGCTACTGAGAAGTTCATGTGAGGTACCCTGTGAGGGTAGTGAGGCTCTAACTGGAACTGGACTTGTCCTAGTTCATGCAGTCTGTAAGTGGTGGTGCTGGGACTTGAACCAGGATCTCTTGCAACAAGATCCCACCCTCAAAGATCATGCAGGCCTGTGGGGCCTGTGATGGGGTGAGATCTGTAGGGTGGGGTGGCCAGAAGTTGTCTACTCCCGGGCCTCCCAGTTAAGCTCCCAGGAAGGGCATCAGTACCGAAGCGCATGCTCTTAAACCCCTTCCCTCCCTTGCCGAATGCAGCGGTCTACCCGGCGCCAGCTCTGCACGCCCGCCGCCGGTCCCCGGGACTTCGAGTTCCTCCCACCGAGGCACTGGACCACTCCAGCTCGGAGCCCCGCGCTGCCCCCTGCCCCTCAAGGGGGCCGGAGGCGGAGCGGTGGGAGTCACCACAGAGGCTAGGAACCTGGGCTGGAATCTACATGCTGCTTTCGGCCCGGCTGTCCCTGGTTGGACACAGCTGATGCCCGCCGGCTTCTCGGCGCGCTCCGGGGCGCACAGTGGCTGCGTGCCCGGCCTGGGCTTTTTGAAAATTTCCGGGGCCGCTCGGCGGCGCTGCGATTGGCCGCGTCCCGGTAACCTCTATGCAAATGAGGCCGCGCCACCTCCGCGCCGGCGGAGACCCGCGGAGCTGGCGGGCAAGGAAGGGGCATTCGCCGCGGGGCTGGGCGGGCGCACCCAGAGCCGGGCAGGCAGCGATCCTGCGCAGCCATCCGATGCCCGCGTGTCCCCCGCGCAAAGGGGACGCCTCACCAGCTTCGCCGCCCCCTCCCCCTGGCTCCCCTCCCCGCCCCTCCCCCCGCCTGCCTGCCTGCACCACCTTCCACCCAGATCGTCTCTAAAGGGAGTTCTTGGTTTCCTCCGATTTCTTATGAACCCAGGATGGGCAGCAAGGAAGATGCAGGCAAGGGGTGTCCGGCGGCCGGCGGCGTCTCCAGCTTCACCATTCAGTCCATCCTGGGCGGGGGCCCCTCGGAGGTGCCACGAGAGCCCGCCGGCTGGCCGGCCAGGAAGCGCAGCCTGTCCGTGTCCTCGGAGGAGGAGGAGCCGGACGACGGCTGGAAGGCACCTGCCTGCTTCTGCCCAGACCCGCACGGCCCCAAGGAGCCGGGCCCCAAGCATCACCCCCCCATCCCCTTTCCTTGCCTGGGTAAGGATCGCACGCCGCCGGGCCGGCCGCGAGCAAGCTCTAGGGGAGGGAAGCTGTGCCGGGGTGCAGGGCCCCTCTGGCCAGAACCCCGGCCACCCGGGGTCCAGGGAGGAGGGGAGGGGACACGCGCGCGATGCTGTCTCCTCCTCCCGGAGGGAGCTCGGGAGGTGACAGGAACGGTCTTGGATGAGGCTGGGTTGGAAGCAGCGTATACCACAGCGGGCCGGTGCGGGGCGGGCCGCACACACGGCTTTGCCCTCAATATCCCCCTTGTACATCGGTCGGACACTTTCCGAACAAGAGGTCTAGAGGTCCGGTCCCAGCGGTCCTTCTGTCTCTACCGCAATCTCTTCCAGCTTCTTTTTTCTCCTCGCTTCCTCTCCCCGCCCCCCCTCGGCCTGATTACCACTCCAAGATGATTGACAATGGTGCCTTTCAGAGATGGTTCCTCTTCACAACACTGACGAAGGGGAGCCCCGCGTTAGTCCTTAGCGTGATTTCCGAACAAACGGCCTGTGAAATGATGCCTCCCGATAAAGCTCGGGGAACTCTTCCAGCTCAGTTATTACAAGGCAAAATCACCTTTTAAAATGATACTAGTGCCCCCCTCCCCCCGTCCAGACTTGCTCCCCGTTGCCACATGTCCTTTCTCCGAAGCTGGGGGGGGGCACAGAGACCCCATACTCTCGAAGTAGCTGGGTCCCGCTGCCTTTTCAAAGCTAGGGTGCTGGGCTTCGGGTTCCAGCGAGAGGGAGAAGAGGAAGGCGTTGGGACCAAGGCTGCAGCCCCCTGCCATCCCCCTGGCCTCGGCCAGGACTGGGGGTCTCGGAGGCTCCCCGACTCCATCCCTCCCTGTCTGTTCTCCCTCCCCAGGTACCCCCAAGGGCAGCGGAGGCGCGGGGCCGGCGAGCTCGGAGCGCACGCCTTTCCTCTCCCCGTCACACCCGGACTTTAAGGAAGAAAAAGAGCGGCTGCTGCCCGCGGGCTCGCCGTCGCCGGGGCCCGAGCGGCCGCGGGACGGCGGCGCCGAGCGGCAGGCGGGCGCCAAGAAGAAGACGCGCACGGTCTTCTCGCGCAGCCAGGTGTACCAGCTCGAGTCCACCTTCGACATGAAGCGCTACCTGAGCAGCTCGGAGCGCGCCTGCCTCGCCTCCAGCCTGCAGCTCACCGAGACCCAGGTCAAGACTTGGTTCCAGAACCGCCGCAACAAGTGGAAGCGGCAGCTCTCGGCCGAGCTGGAGGCGGCCAACATGGCGCACGCCTCGGCGCAGACTCTGGTGGGAATGCCGCTGGTGTTCCGGGACAGCTCGCTGCTGCGCGTGCCGGTGCCGCGCTCGCTCGCCTTCCCCGCGCCGCTCTACTACCCCGGCAGCAACCTCTCGGCCTTACCTCTCTACAACCTCTACAACAAGCTCGATTACTGAGCGGCCGCCGGCCCGCGCCGCGCTCTCCCGGCCGCCTCCAGCGGCGTCCCCTGCCCCCTCCCTCCCCGGGGCTCCGGCGCGGGCCGGTGCGTTGCCAGGAATATTAAGAAATACACCATGTGTATTCATTATCTCTTATTTATGGCCTCTGCCCTACTTTTTGTTTTGATTGTTTCGGGTTATTTATCGGCATTTCTCAAGCCAGATCGCCGCTTTCTAGCCAAAACAAGCCAATACGCTTTGAAAACCATTTTGGAGGGGATGTTCTCGGGTGGCGGTGGGAAAGGGAGTTCCGGCCAGATCTACACTGATTGGTAGGGAAAAAAAAAAAATCAGAAAAACACCAACAGAACCAGGTACACTCCTCTCCCCATACATACACCTGTATGGACGTACATGCACACAGCCGGCCAAGCCAGCGGGGGCTTCGGACAATGATCTCAACGCCTCTTTTTGTTTTCCTCGTCCCGAGGATGGGCAGGAGGAGACCTCAGATCTGTAAATATTTTTAAAGAGGAAAAAAAAAAATAAAACATTTTAAGCATCGTTGCTAATTTTGGTGAGATTGATTGCCCAGCGAGCTAATGCGCGGCTTTACTCGATTTTCGGCGGAGGCGCGCGGCAGTAGAGGGCTTGCTCGCCCCACGTGGCGGGTGGGACTGCGGTCAGGGGTTAAAGGCGGGGGCCTCCGCGCTGCCGCGGCCGCACGCGGGCTAGAGCTGCGCCGGCTTCCACTCCCTGGTGCCCATAGACCTGCAGCACGCTGAGGCGCACCTGGGCCGGAATCCAGATCCGGAGCCCGGGCGGAGAGGGACAAAGGCGGGGAGCCTCACTGCTGAAGCGCTGCCTTCCCGGAACGAGCATCTTCCCCGCACTGGGAGCGCCGTGGGCTTAGCCGCAGCAGGGCGCCGGGCGACCTGGCCCAGCCTGGGCTGCGCGCCTCCTTCCAAGGGCGAAGGTCAGGTGGAAAGGCCGTGCCTGTACCAAGTGCAGAGCCCGCTTTGCTCGTCCCCCAACCCGGCGCGACAGGCTTGTAGCCGCGCACAGTTCCCGAGCGGGTGGCACAGTTGTGCGTGCGGCGCCACGCGGAAACTGGACGCAGAGAGGCGGCTCTTCGGCTGAGGAGGGATCTTGAGGCTGGAGACTAGGCAAAGCAGGCGTGGGCCGCGAAGAAAGCGGGGACTGCAAAGGCGCTTCCGCGCACACTGTTGTTGTTGTTGTATATTTTGCATTGTGCGTGGCTGAATGGCGGGGTCAAGGGCAAGCACGTGGCCAGTCGCGCTGAAAGGAACCTCGGCGGGGCCTGCGTGCCAACAGGCTTCCGCGCCTTAACACCTGCCCCTGGGAGGGCGCGGCACCCAGAGAACAGCAGCGCGAGTGTCATGCAAATCACAGAGTTTTGCAATGTTTGATCGCAGCCGCCTGTTCCGAGTAAAACGTCGGAAAAGGTGGCTGGAACTTAGAGGAGGACGACGGTCCCGTGTCACGTGGGGAGAACCCCCCTGGTCCTGCCGCCTCTGGTCCCGAGGTCCCCTTAGCCCGTGCAAGGGTGCTGGGAGTGCGCAGTGAGGAGGTCGGACCTTATGCTCTAGAAGGAAAACATTTGCGTGATGGACTTGTCTCTGAGCCGAGAGGCATCGAAATTATCAGCATTTTATGGAAATGCAGAGGCTCTCTGTAAATCGTCTGTGGGACCCGCAGTGTTCTGTCTGAACTGCTTGGCCTCCTGTCCATTTTGAAGTCGTTGTTTTCTCACATAAGATTTCATGAAAATTACAATCTCTTTCAAGATGACGTCAGAGGGATGTTATCCAAGAACACATCTGCAGATGCTAAGTTAGTTCTAGTCCACTTATTTCATTCCAGCAAGTTCAATTCAGTAAATGTATACTGAGCCCTAGAAGTTGCTGAGAACTAGGCTAAGTATTGTATAGACAAAGAGAGAAAACAAAAGTGATATTGGATCTGTTTTCTTCTGACTTATTTGGTACATGTATTTTATTCCCAAAGCATTTTTTCTTTCCAGATGACCCACTTTAAATTATTCTTGTCCTTTAAAGTTGTTATTTGAATATTCCATGCAGAAACAACCAGTTTGCTCAAGGAACTACTTGTATAAGAATATTCCATCCATCTCATTATTGTCTGCATTTCAATAGATTGTTTTTGTCAAGAGATGCTGGTTTTAACAGTATTGGGTCACTAAATCCTCCTTACGCTTACTTCTCTTATAGAAAGTGGTTTTCTCCAGCCACTCTAGGGTCTTGATGGCAGAATGATTTCGCCCTTAAGATTTCAGGGATGACCCTTTTCCGGTTTATCATATAGTGGATATTTCAACCCTTTTACTAATTCAGAAATTAGCAGCCAAAGGTGATCCAACAGTGTAATTAGTTTCTAGGAATTCCCTGCTCCTACAGGTAACTGAGTGTTCACACACACACACACACACACACACACACACACAACTTTGCATTTGGATTTAAAATGTTCAAGATTCCATTGTGGCCAGATCTCCTATCTCAAGGCTATCAATTCATTTGAATAATCAGCAAAACCATCAGCCTCCTTTTTAGGCTGTAAACTGGATTTTAAAGATTGACGTTTCTTAAAACTCGAATAGAGTCCGGCTGCAACTGTGTGCCCAGAAGGACCTGAATCATACACACACTGTATAATGAAATACTGTTAGATTTTATTAGCAGATAATTCATGTTCGGTATCTTGAAACTCTAATAGAATTAAATAAACAACTGGGAGAGGGAACCAAATAGAATTATTTGGAGATAAAATTATTTAGCCGAAGTTAGAATGGCAAGGCACTGCTTTTTAAAATTCTTAACTTCACCATTAACTTGTTGAAAGAGAAAGTGTAGAGAACCGAGTACGAGGATTGGCATTGAGGGAGGGCAAGGATCTGTTCTTTTAGCGGTGATATCAACACAGTGGGCAGAAGGGTGATTACTGTGTGCATGCTCATTGTGTCAAGAATCCTAAAGAGAAGTGCACCTGAGGGGGTAAAGACCAACAACACTTCCCTTTATTAACATACCTTTAAAGTTAAACCCTTCAATTCCAACAATTTCTTCCCACTTCATACAAAATCACATCATAAGATTCCGCCCCCCCACCCCCCCAGCAAGAGGCAGTGAAAAAGAGGTTACAGTGTGGATTAAATTGAAAATTGTCAATGAGTTTTTTATATTCAAGAGTAACTGAGCCACAGCATTCTAGTTATAAATTAAGAATTACTTTTCTTTCATGGAGATCAAGTAAGTTCCAGAAGCAACTTCTTGATTCTCCTATTTCTGGAGGAGTCTAGAAACAGATAATGGGAGCAAACTGAGCCTGCAATTCTAGGGAGTTTTGGGGGGTAGGGAGGTAAATGGGGAGAAGCTTGTAGCTGTCATTTTAGGACTCTGCTTAAACATACAGAAGTTTTGAGCTTGAACACACTGCAGAGTAATTGTTTTCCAGTCTGTCCACCCTTCTGGACAGGGAGCTCCCTTGAGAGCAAGGGCTGTCCGATTAATGCATCTTCCCAGAGGCTCTCACCAGGCCTGGTATTCAGTAGGTGCTCCATAAATGTTTGAAGAAAGATGGAACGGAGGGAGAAAGCATAGTATAAATAAGGATGGCTTTTTATGATATCAATAGATCTTAAGACAATGGAAAATGTGAGATCTTGGTTCAGGGGTGGAAACACCAGGAAAATGAGAATAAATCAGAGCAAAGTAATGCAATTGATTAGAGCAAATATTTCCACTCCAATTTTTGGTTAACTTCATGGGCGTGTGCATGTCCAGTGAAAGGGAGAAATTTAGTATTGACCAAAACGGGGTTCTTGAGTCTGAGAGACTGAGGTGGGAAGTGAGCCACGGGTCAAACGGGAAAGAGCATCTTTCCCGCCTACTATTCAGATGAGCAGCCGGGCGTCGGCTCCAGGGAAACTACATTTCCCTTCGTGCCGCAAAAGGGCGGGAGAGAGCGTGGGCTCAGCCTGGGCGCGGGGCACTTCGGGAATTGTAGTTTCCACTCGGTCCTCACGAGGACCGGAGCCTTAGGCGTGTACTAAAGGAAGCCCACGTGATCGGAAAAGCCGCGGTTTGCCTTTGAGCCGGAACAAGATGGCTGGGTTGACCGGCGCCGGGCCTCCGAGCGGACCAATTGGTTGCCTCGAGCGAGACGTTGGCGTTTGAAATTAGCCAATGGCAGTCACACGCTGGAGCTTCCTCTCCGCCTCTTCTCGCCCAGCCCGCGAGTACTGGGAGGAAAGCGAGGAGGTGGTGGCGGCGGCCAGCAGCGGCTAAGTTGCTTCGAGGGGGAGTCCAAGGTAGCAGGGACGAGGCGACGGGACGCTGGGGCGGATTCTTGGGGGACATCCCAGGTCCGGAGCCCTCAGTGCCATCCAGGGGAACCCGTTTGGCTTCCATCCCTCTTGCTTTATTTTGGGAGCGTCCAGGGCGGTAGGCCCGGCGGAGGGGCCGGAGTGCGGGAGCCCGCGGAGGGTTAGGGGTGTCCCGGCGCGGGCGAGGCAAATTGGGGCGCCTGGAAGGGGCGGCGGTGGGTGGGGGGTGAGTCCTGATTGCGGCGGGCGCGCTGATGCTGCGCAGGCGCAGCCTCCCGGTCGCGGACGTTCTCTAGGTCCCTTCCCCGCAGGACAGCCCCCCCCCCCCCCCCCGCGCCCGTAAGGAACCCCCTGTCCGTGAACCCCCCGGAATGCTCGGCCTGCCGTCAGCCCAACACCCCATCCTGGATCCTTGGGGAATGACTGGTCGCTTGTTCCGTAGATGACCGGTTCTAACGAGTTCAAACTGAACCAGCCACCCGAGGACGGCATTTCCTCGGTGAAGTTCAGCCCCAACACCTCCCAGTTCCTCCTGGTCTCGTCCTGGGACACGTCGGTGCGCCTCTACGACGTGCCTGCCAACTCCATGCGGCTCAAGTACCAGCACACCGGCGCCGTCCTGGACTGTGCCTTCTACGTAGGTGTCCTCAGTTCGCGCACCTGCCCGCTTTGTTTCGGGATGTCCTGTGTTGGGAGCGTCCTTCCACTAGTGTCGGGCAGAAAAGCTTCTGTCGGTGGTGGTTTGGATAGCACTTCACATTTTCCCGAACACTGGTCTTGAGACAAATACAGTTTTTGGGGGGGGAGCTGGGGTTATGCAGATGTCTAGATGTCAAAAAGAGTAACCTTGCAAACTTTGTGGATATATGACATTTGTATTTGAAATTTGCAACAAGACGGTAAAATTTGGTTGCCCTTATCAAAAGGAAGGTTTTTTTTTTTTTTTTTTTAAAAGCTAGGACATAGGAATACCTATGTGCTCTCAGCCAGTGTGGTGAATAAGCCTTCCTTAATTTGCTGATGTTAATTTTGGTGACCAGTTATTTGCTGTATTTTGTGTGTGTGTTAGAGCCCAGTGTACATCATCCTGAGCATAAAGTGAACAGTTGGCTGTAGAAACAGGAATTTTGAAATTCTTTATAAACGTCTGTAACTTTTGAATGACTTGAAACTTTTTTTTTTGTAGGATCCAACACATGCTTGGAGTGGAGGATTAGACCATCAATTGAAAATGCATGATTTGAACACTGACCAAGGTAATATGCCACATTTTTACCAGTTTATGGTTTTCTCAGCTAAGGTACTGAAGTGTAAATGTTTATTTAAGAAGAGTGGTTCCTGAATTGCTTAGTTTCCAAGTTGTTTACAAATAAAAGTGGCTTAAGTTTAGGACTTTTTGTTTAAATGCTAACCGTTAAATTACTGAGCACAGAATACTGTCCATGTACTTTTTCAGTAAATTCATTTCCATGTAGATCACCACTCCAGGTGTTTACATGAAGTTACCCTTAAGTGTTTGACCTTTACCTGTCCTCAAAAGTGGACTGGATGCCATAGTAATCTACTGCTCATTAAAATTTTCCAGGACAGTGCTGATGTCTGAGTGTTCTCTTTTCAGAAGCTTATTTAGTTCAGACTGAAGGATGATAGGTTTTTAAAAATCTGATGTTATAAAATAGCCAGTCCTGTCCAGCTGCTGTATTAATTCTGCTTGTGTGATGATTTAGCGTAGAATATGCTTCAGTTGCATTTATTGAATGAATAAGAAGATGACACTTTTTTTTTTTTCCACTTAATTTCTTCGAGGCCTGGATAGGAAATGTCTTAACCAATTTTTTATGTTGACTTTGGAGCAGAGCAGAAAGGGAATGGAACTCAAATGAATAGAATCTCTTGGAGCATTAAAAAGATTTTTTCTGTATATGCATACATTAGGTATAGATGTGCTTGAAGCAGTTGGCAAGGCACGAAGATAGGACTAGCTGAGGATGAGCTGGACAGTAGGAGGATGGAAAGAAGATGAACACAATATTTTGTCAAAGAATAACTCAGAAGAGGTGATTTCAGGAAAGTCACTTTGTCGTGTAATTTAGAACTGCATAACTATTTGGTTTTGTTAGCTTATTATATATAGTAAGTTAGCTTGTGGGTTTGGGTCCTATTTGTTGGAAAATTTAGGAGGAAAAAAAAACATGGAAATACAAAGATTTTTGATATGGAGACCATAGTTAAGGGAATTAGCTGTTTACTCTCAAGTGGTCATTGTTGAACTACATGAGGTCCTCTTTTTCTTGTTTAAGTGATATAGAGGGAACACAAGCAGGGGGACTGGGAGAGGGAGAGGCAGGCTTCCCACTGAGCAGTGAGCCCCATGTGGGTCTCCATCCCGGGGCCCTGGGATCATGATCTGAGCTGAAGGTAGACATGTAATGACTGAGCCACCCAGGCGCCCCTTAAATGATATATTTTTTAAATAGGTAGTTTTCCTGTTTGAGGATCAGGACCACATACTGTTCTTTGTCATACCCTTAGCACATGACATAGATTTGGCACATACTAGACATTTAGGAAATGTTCGTTGAATGAATGGATGAGATAGTGTGAAGAGTTGAAATTGAAAGGAAAGAAATTGCCTTTTGGAAATCTGACCCACTGTGAAAACCAAGTGAACTTGTCATGAGACTTTTCTGCCTTCCTTATCCCCCAGCTTTCAGATATCCTGTTAGACCACGTAAACAAGTTTCTTATAAACATTGGCTTTAATGCAATAAATTTTATCCAGTTCCAGAAGACCAGACCCATTGTTTCATTCAGGAGGTATTTGAGTACCTACCATGTATCAGAACCTGCGGTAGATAAAGTCAGAAGTATAGAGTTGAATAAGGCTTCTTATTTTAAGGAATCTAGAATCATTGTAAGGAAAAAACCTAGATATGCCACCAATTTAATATAATGTGAAATTCAGGTCAGCCTTTGGTAGGAACCATGTTAGTGAATCAAACTATGTGTTGTAAGGTGAACAGAGAAGGATGGGTGACGGTTTGTAGTCATGGAGAAATTTTTTTGTATGCAGGCATTTTCATTGAGTTGGTGGAAGCGGATTCATTACAGTTTAATGAGTGTTTCCTTCTATTGTTCACTTGAGGAATCTTTGTTTAGTGGAGGTAATGAAGCTGGGTGATTTTATTTATTTTTTTTTTCTTTTCCCTCTTGTAGAAAATCTCGTCGGAACCCATGATGCCCCTATCAGATGTGTTGAATATTGCCCAGAAGTGAATGTGATGGTGACAGGGAGTTGGGATCAGACAGTTAAACTGTGGGATCCCAGAACTCCTTGTAATGCAGGGACCTTCTCTCAGCCCGAAAAGGTAGGCTCTTGACATTCATAATAGGAATTTTAATCTTTGGGGTGATTTGATTTGATACACGGTTGATGAGTATGGTGTTGAATTTGAAGGTTAATTAAGAGTTGATGAGGGGTGCCCAGCTGGCTTAGTCGGTAGAGAACATGACTCTTGATCTTGGGATTATGAGTTTGAGCCCCACATGGATGAGGCCTAGAGATGAGTTTTAAGAAGTTGGTTTTTTTGAAGAGAGGGATTGGATTTTGGTATTTGGGTCAACTTTTTTTTCTGTTTGTTGTCATCTCCGTACTGGATGGTAGTCGCTTTTAAATAAACCCACTGCTCTGTATTGTAAATGCTTGAAATCCCAGGATGGAGAAGCAACTCCGTGTCTTTTCAGAGAAGTCATTTAGCAAAGGCTGTTGGATTGCCTTAAACGGGGTTTGACGTGCCCAGACCAGGAAGTGGGACAGAGCATCACTCATTTTCACTTACCACCTGAGGTTTCATTTGAGTGGACTGTTAAGAGGGTGGAGTGGGTTATCACTTGAAGTTAGTGAGAAAGGTATTCTGTATTTATTCTGTATTCCCTGGGTTTTGCCATTTATTAATTTATTTTTAATGTTGGCAGATGGTGTTTGAAGGCTCTCCTGAAGAAAGCTTTTTAAAACCCAAACTTTGTGTTGTTCTGACCTTTTGATCTGTCCAATGAAAGTGTAATTGAGCTTTGTTGCTGGATCCTCATCAGACTTTATCAGGTGGTAGTTAATTTTAAAGATTGATTGTCTTAGCAGTTTAAAGGTATCCTTCACTCCAGTCTATTTCCTTAGTGTAAATATACTATTCAGTTCCTGTTAGCCATCATTATATACTGTAGTGCATCCAAAGAGCCATTATTTCTGTCACATCACAGTCGAATCTACTCCTGGCAAGACCTTTGTTCAGAATAAAATAATTGCATTGTTTCTAGTTTTGATTTATGGTTTTATGTAACATGTTAAGAGCTGTGATAAATTGCTGACAGAATATCGTATAATGGACAGCCTCACTGAATCAAGCTGCTTATTGGTTCAGCAAGGTTCATTATGTCACTTTTTTTAATACTTTCTTTGATAAATGTATACACCTAGTCACTGGCATGACAGTGGTTTCACATGATTTACGATCAGTGGGGATAGAAAGCCCTGTTAGAAGCTTGTGTGTCACCTGTATAGTAAAGATTTAAGATAAAATTCCCAATCTGATTGTACTGTTATAAATTGATCTCTTTCTGGATTCTGTGTTTTTTAAGTTTGCCATCTCACTGTCGCAGGTTAATTTCTGTTTTTCTGCAAACACTGTGTTTTCCTGAATAAAGTGCAGTAGATCTTGCCTTTCTCTTATTTATATCTGCTTATGGTAATCTACTGTTTTGAGTCTTCTTAATTCCTCGTATTTCCCTTAGTCAAATTAGTTGTTGAATTTTAAGGTCAGAAATCTGAGACTCTTGGATTGTTGTATTGTTAAACCTAACTTGGTATTTTGGGGTGGTAGTATAGAGTTAACACATTAGTAATTATTAACCTTGTGGTTTAGTGACTGAATGTTAAAGAGATGTCTTAGCAGGCCATGGGCTCTCTTCATTTTTTAATAGTGATTCTTCAGGTTTTAAAATATTAAATCAGATTAAATTAAAGTTGGTTCTTAGTTGAAAGTAACAACCAGAGTTAGTCTAGACTTCTAGTGAAGTCTAGATTTAAAAAAAAAAATTATTTAACATGATCAGGAAAATATATTTTGTCACCATTTTCATGAATTCGCTATTTGCATTTGACATAATTTGAAAGCAAACCACTTGAAATACTTGCAGGAAATTCTGTGATTTATTGTAAAGGAATTTTATGGAAATTTAAAAAAATACTGTAAAAAGGGCATTATATGGGGAAAATAAATGCATTTAAAGGAGAAAATGCTTTTTAAATTTTCGCTAAAGATGAACTTTGTCTTGAGTGTTTAGTAGGATGTCAGGGAACAAGAATGTGTTTTGTCACGTGCCAGACCACTGTCCTTACCTTTTAATTTGGAGTACATGTGCCACCAACAGCAACTAAGCGGCTAATTAATGATGGCTCCTTCATTCTTCTTGGAAAGGCCTATTTATTCACTGTGACAGCTAGAAAATCAAGATTTTTAGAGTTACAACGGGAAATCTTTTTTGAAAGGGCAGTCATAGAAAAATAACTTGGAAAATTATTATTTTGTGAAAAGCTGGAAACCTGTTGAGAGGTATCTTGAATTGTTATTATGGCTTTATTATCTCCTCTTTGAGTAGTTTTTACACTTTTGTGTTGTTAACTAAATGAAACAAGAAGGCTGGAAAAATAGCTTAATAATTGAATTTGTTTTAGTAACCAAGAGAATTAAGTTTTCAAAAGTGTTTTTGTGGAATTAATTATAATGTACATTATATGATCCATGGCTAAGTAGTGAGAATATTTCAGGTTGATGGTTTTGTGCACATTACTTGGTTTATGTAACTGTAGCATTTAAAATTTAATAGCTGTGTTTGCGAACCTGATGAGCTAACTTTTTTATGGTTTCACAATTAGTGGACTTCTTTGGGGGACAGAATGGCCTGTTCAGGCAAGTGGGTGGATTTTAGTAAGTTTTGGTCTTTCTTGAAAGGTGTACACCCTCTCAGTGTCTGGAGACCGGCTGATTGTGGGAACTGCAGGCCGCAGAGTGCTGGTGTGGGACTTACGGAACATGGGCTATGTGCAGCAGCGCCGGGAGTCCAGCCTCAAGTACCAGACTCGCTGCATCCGGGCATTTCCCAACAAGCAGGTACTGACCTGTCCCCACCCCACCCCCACCCCCCATTTGCGAATTTGAAAATAAGAGGATCTCATCTCATTGGTCACTGCCTTTTAAAGCTTTGCTTTTTCAAAAATGTTTTGAGGACTGATTTAGAATTTGCTGTAGTTACATTTCCAACAGCCCTGTGTTACAGAGCAGTGTGTTAACCCAGTTTCAGAGAAGATCTCGATGTTCAGAGGGGTTAAGTAATCTACCAGTGGTTTGAGTGGGGGCCTTCCGATTCCCTTGGTCCAGGATGCTTGACAGGTGGACGGTAATCAGGGAGCAGTTCGCACGTATTTCACTTTACCAAACCAGTGAACTCAGATTTAAATCTGGAAATATACAGGGTTATGGAATTTGCTGTTCTCTCTTTTTTTTTTTTTTTTTTTTGCCTCTTTGTAACTCTGATACTAATAGAGTTCTTCAGCTGGTCTGACAGCAGAACTTGGATTTTTTTTTTTTTTTTTTAAGAGAAGATGATAATCCTTATGTAATGACTACCTCTTAAAACACACGGTGGGTTCCCCTCCTGGTCATCACTACTGAACAAGACTGCCCTGTTTATTAGTGAGCCCCTTTCCCCTGAAATCCTTAGAAGTTTGAAGGAGAGTTGGTGGTGGGATCAGCTACTGTAAGAATTTTATGAGAGGAGACATCATTAAAAACAGCAGGTATCTTTGAAATCTTATGCTCTTTTTCAGTGGTTGACAAGCTGGATGCAATTATGTCGGTTACTCTCTTGGCCCTTTATCTCAAAGGGCTGGTACCTCAAATGGTGATCACAGTTCTTTTTCTCAGGAAATTGTGAATTTCCATTGAAGATAAGACATTGCAATTATGTGACTTAAAGATTTGACTATGTGATTATAAGATATCCTTGCATTTCTAAATATTATTTTTATGTCTTAAGTCTGAAACTTTGTTAGAACATGTTTCTAGTTGGTGATGGAAGCTTAAGATTTCACTGATGTGTTTTTTTCTCCCTAAGTAGTTTTTGAGGAATAATTCTTCTTCATACCTTCAGAATTAAAAAATAAATAAAATATAGGGTTCATATTTATCGTATCTCTTAGTTTCTTTGACATATTGTCATTTCAAGGGAAGGTGAGAAAGGTTTGAAATAGTAAACCACTTTGAACATCGTTGAAAATCTGTGTTATTTGTGTGTGAACTCAACTTGCTGTTGTTACATGCAAGAGGCAGAATGACTGAGGCAGAAGGCTGGTGTTCTAGTTGATTTGGATCGTTGATAACCCCCCCCACCCCTCAAAGGACACACAGTTCTGATTTTTGGTTTTTTTTTTCCTTTTTTTAAGATTTTATTTATTTATTTGACACAGAGAGATATAGCGAGAGAGGGAACACAAGCAGGGGGAGTGGGAGAGGGAGAAGCAGGCTTCCCGCTGAGCAGGGAGCCCAATGGGGGCTCAATCCTAGGACCCTGGGATCATGACCTGAGCTGAAGGCAGATGCTTAACAACTGAGCCACCCAGCCGCGCCCCAGGACACACAGTTCTTAAGAGTTGTTGGAGGTGTAGAAGCACAGAGCACAGCAGATTATATCCAAGTGATGGAACAAGTTTGAGCCCCATCTGGACAAGACAACAAACAAATGATACTGAAGCACTTGAAAATTCTTGTCTAGGTGTGACAGAATTGCTAGATGTGTTAGCCTTATTTTTCTTTTTTTATAGAACGGGTATAAATGTTAAACTCTTGGCCCGGTCATAGCTATGTTAGTGTAGTTTAAAACCTGTACCTGGTTAAAACCTGGTCGTACTTAGCTTTCATTTCTGAAATAATCCTTTTTTTTTTTTTTTTTTTTTTAAAGATTTTATTTATTTATTTGTCAGAGAGAGAGAGGGAGAGAGAGCAAGCACAGGCAGACAGAATGGCAGGCAGAGGCAGAGGGAGAAGCAGGCTCCCTGATGAGCAAGGAGCCCGATGTGGGACTCGATCCCAGGACGCTGGGATCATGACCTGAGCCGAAGGCAGCTGCCCAACCAACTGAGCCACCCAGGCGTCCCTGAAATAATCCTTTTTAATGCAGATTGAAGTTGGGAATTAGTGCCTTGTTTTTGGGAGCTGGAGTCACCAGGTTTGTCCTTCTCTGGTTCCTTCTTGGCAGGGCTATGTATTAAGCTCCATAGAAGGCCGAGTGGCAGTTGAGTACTTGGACCCAAGCCCTGAGGTGCAGAAAAAGAAGTACGCCTTCAAGTGTCACAGACTGAAGGAGAACAACATTGAGCAGATCTACCCGGTCAATGCCATTTCCTTTCACAACATCCACAACACATTTGCTACAGGTATACAGTGTGGCATGTGCGCCTACGTCCCATCATTGCGATAATGATTTTGCTTTATTTTATTTCCATTAAATTAATTGTAGAGAGAGAAGGGGATGAGGGGTAGAGGGAGGGGAGGGGGGCGGGAGAGAATCCTAAGCAGACTCCACACTGAGCACAGAGCCCACCATGGGGCTCAGTCTCCCAACCCTGAGATCATGACCTGAGCCAAAATCCGGAGTCAGACCTCCAACTGACTGAGCCACCCAGCGACCCGACAGTTTTGCTGTAATTGAACACTAGACAGTTAAACTTAGAGTTTTGAAAAAAAAATTAGGCTTGCTTTTTCTGATACTTAGGGAGTAAAAATTTTACATGATCTTCTGGGGAAAATGTAAATTCTGTGACCTTAGAAATTAACCATGAAGGGTAATAGTTTTTTTCTGTACGTGGGTTTTTTTTTTTTTTTTTTTTAAGGATTTTATTTATTTATTTGATAGACCATGATCACAAGTAGGCAGAGAGGCAGGCACAGAGAGAGAGGGGGAAGCAGGCTCCCTGCTGAGCAGAGAGCCTGATGCAGGGCTCAGTTCCAGGACCCTGAGATGATGACTTGAGCCGAAGGCAAAGGCTTAACCCACTGAGCCACCCAGGCGCTCCTGTACCTGGTTTTAAGGACCATTTTACCTCTTTTGAAATGACTTGCAGGTGGCTCTGATGGATTTGTAAACATTTGGGACCCATTTAACAAGAAGCGGCTGTGCCAGTTCCACCGGTACCCCACCAGCATTGCGTCCCTGGCCTTCAGTAACGACGGGACCACGCTCGCAATAGCATCGTCGTATATGTATGAAATGGATGACACAGAACATCCCGAAGATGGTATCTTCATTCGCCAAGTGACAGATGCAGAAACAAAACCCAAGTGAGTATGCTTCACCTGTATTTGAGCCTTTTCTCGCATTCAACCCAGGATTTATTAATTTTTCTAAATTCATGAATAGCATTGTTGATGCCTGCTCGATATTACAGCTGACTGTAGGGTTGGACTTGATTTTATCTTGTTCTCCCAAGCTTTCAATATCCGTAGGTTGATAGACGTCTGATGGATAAAATTGTGCCTAGTTGTTTGGTAGAGAAGAATGTCAAACTCTCATTCTTCTTGAATAGGCACTATTATTTGAATCTCTGGAGTTATTACCAGCTCATTGCTTCAAAATTAAGTTGAGGAATTCAAGAATAATTTATTTTAGCAAATTCTATTTAAGATATTTAAGAATTTGAACTGCCAAAAATCTTTCCTCTCCACAGAGGTTGTTTCTTTAATATTTACACAAAGCGAATGACCTTCAGGTCTTACTGAAAACCCAGAGTAATATGGCCTTGCCTGGAATAGCAAATTTCCGTAGTTTTGAAATTTTCATAGCTGTCTTTGGCTTTTGGTTGTAACAGTTGACAGGGATGGACGATTTACATTTTTTTGGTACCAACAGGGCAAAGCTCTTAATTACCTGCACCAGGCCTGAGGGAAAACTGATACTTAGGCTCTTGTTAAACCGTAAAATACCTACCCCCCGGGGGTCTTTGTCCCTGTTCTCTGTCCCTCTCTACCTAGGCCTCAGTAAATACGGAATAACTGAACGTTTTCAGGATTCTTCTACTTGTCTGAGTTAAAATGGTTTAACATCCTCGCCAAATTGGTTGAGTCCCTAAAAGGGGGCAGAGTAGTAAATATTCAATTACATGCATACTTTTACAGGTTTGATTTTAGCAAAGACTTAGCATGTGAAGCCTGTTGGATAAAGGGCTGTGTTTGCTTATAATCTCTCACTTTTGTGTTTCCTGTCCTGGCCGGCCATTTTGATCTCATGCTGTTCTTTTTTCTTTTGAACTTGTAGGTCACCATGTACTTGACAAGATTTCATTTACTTAAGTGCCATGTTGATGATAATAAAACAATTCGTACTCCCCAATGGTGGATTTATTACTATTAACAAAGAAACCAGGGAAATATATTAATTTTAATATTATAAGAACCTGAAAATAATGGAAAAGAGGTTTTTATTGATTTTTTTTTTTTTTTTAATGAACACTCTTAAGTGCATGAGATGGTTGATGGTTTGTTGCATTAAAGGTATTCTGGGCAAACGAAATTGGAGGGCAGTGACCGCACTTTTGAGAATCAGTTTTGACCTTGGTAATTTTTGTTTCCACTGTGGAAATACATGTTTGTAAATAAATATAGGTAATAAAAATCCTTTTGCATTCTTTCTGGACCTTAAATGGTGGAGGAACAGGCTCTTGAGCCATTTGTTTCTTTTGCTGGTTGTAGTTACTAATTCGAAAGCTGCTTCAGACCGCCTCATGAGGAGGTTAATCTACAATTAAACAGTATTTCCTCTTGGCCGCCCATTATGTTCCGAAGCAGATGGGTCATCGTTTCCTGGGCTGTTCCACAAAGCAAGGTTAAGGTTAGACTCCTGGGAATCAGCTAGTTTTCAATCTTATTAGGGTGCAGAAGGAAAACTAATAAGAAAACCTCCTAACTTCATTTTGTGACTGTAAACAATTATTTATTAGCAAACAATTGATCCCAGAAGGGCAAATTGTTTGAGTCAGTAATGAGCTGAGAAAAGACAGAGCATATCTGTGTATTTGGAAAAATGATTGTAGCGTAATTGTAGTACATTTCGACAGGCATCTTTTTGGACCTGTTTCTGTCTCTAAATGAATTTTTGGAAACATTAACGAGGTTTACATATTTCTCTGACATTTATATAGTTCTCATGTCCATTGCAGTTGCCCAGCCGCTGGTGATTAAGGTTAAAAAGAAAAAATTATAGTGAGAATGAGATTCACTTTAATGTAATGCCCTGAAGCAGAACACGAACTTAGCTTGGTCTATTCTAGCGAGTTCCAAATAGTATTTTTGTGGTCAGACTCCGGTGTTTTATTTATATTATTTGCAAATGTGTGTTTTTGAATGGGCCTTGGACCCTTACTGAAATTTACACATGACGTGTTTTTTTTTTTTTTTTTAAATTCTTTTGATACAGAGAAAGTCTTGCTTTTATTTTGTAAGCATTTCAGTGAAAACTTAGTGTTAAGTGTGAACCCATCTTTTGAAATGTATTTTCTTCATTGCAGGTCCACCTAATCATCTCGTGAAAGTGGTTTCTCTATGGCAAGCTTTGTTTTGCTTCCTACAAATACATACTCATCCCCTAAGGGATGTGTTGTAGTCATTGTGGACACCTTATTTAGTATGTGGATTTCTCTGTTTTCTGTCTTAAAAAAACTTGTCCGTGTGCCCTTCCATGCTGACTTTGTGTAGGATGAGGAGTCTTTGTGTCCTTGGGTGATAGTCCGAAGAATTGTTTTTACCCCCAGAAAGCCCAGTTGCTGTTTCGGAGCAGCTTGAGCTCTTTTTGTAAAATAATCTAACCCTGTTATTGCTGTGCTGTCTAATAAATCAGAGATTCAGAACCCTTAAATGTTGGATGTTTTTAAATGTTGGTAATTAATGTAATTTACTTCATAAAAAGGCTTCTGTAAAGCAAAACTCGTTTCATCAAGGGTCTGGTAGGGATGACATTTTACCTTTAAGTCCACACGGCCTCGTTTAATTACGTCTGTTTTTGTGTACGTTGGGGATTCAGTCCTGGCTAAAGTGATCTGTTGGAGTTCTGCCATTTCCCTCGTGCCCTCTTGCTGGATCAGCAGGGGCCTTGAGCCAACTGTGTAGCTTCGCAGGGTGGGCACAGACAGGGTGGCAGCTGACGGGCACCCTTCGGCCTGACTCTCCTGCGCTGGTGCAGTAGGGGTCCTGCGGCTCCCCCGTCCGTGGGCTGGTGCAGTCATCATACGCGCCTGCACAGAGCCGGGTGACGGACCCGTCTGTACTTCTCCATCAAATGCTAAATCAAAGTGAAGCCCTTGGGATGGTAAATAATGTAACAGCCAGAGACTAACTGATGGCATTGGTGCTGGAGTGTGATGATGTGCTTTTCAGACTCCTAACCACTTGGTTGAGGACAAAGCATAAATTGAAAACATTGTTTAACTGAAAGGGAATTACTGTGGTGTTGTAAAAGGTGACTAAAATTAAAGCAATGTTGGGGACCTGTTTTGAGTTCGTGGTGTGGGAGGGCTGTTTTTGTACTTCTATCTGCATGTCTTCTTTCTCTTGAAACCGGATGTGTCTCAACCTGAAGGTGTCTCCTGGCCTCCCTTGTGGACCTGCTAACCTGCTTGCTCTCCTTCACGGTTTGCCTGTTTAGGATTACAGCCACCTTTCCCCCCAGATGACCCAGGGGTAAAAACCTTAGTGTTCTCCTTGATTTCCTTTGTCCATATCCTCTTCAGTGTTTTTAAGTATCTTTTCTGATGATTTTTCTTTCTATGCCCGTCTCCCACTGCTGCTCACCCACCTGGGATGTGCAGCAGGGTTGGGGCTCTGCCCCGAGTTCTGTATCTGTTGGAACAGTGACTTTCAGACTTTTTTAGCTGTGATCCAAGTAGGAAATACATTTGGACTGAAGTTCAGAACACACAGAGGTCAATCCAGTATGTGTAATAGAGACAAATTTCATAAAGTATTCCTTGTTCTTTGTACCTATGATGTATCTGTTCGGTTTTTTCTTTTTTCTTTTTCCTTTTTTTTTTTTTAGAAATGCTGGTTTTGGTCCCCTGAACTGATTTTTTTTTTTTTAAAGATTTTATTTATTTATTTGACAGAGAGATCACAAGTAGGCAGAGAGGCAGGCAGAGAGAGGGGAAGGGAAGCAGGCTCCCTGCGGAGCAGATAGCCCGATGTGGGGCTCGATCCCAGGACCCCGGGATCATGACCTGAGCCGAAGGCAGAGGTTCTAACCCACTGAGCCACACAGGCACCCCTGAAATGATTTTTATAACACATGCCTTGCCACCTCTAATTTGAGAAGGCTGCTCTATGCCACGTAAGACTTTAAAAACAGTTGCTCTGTTTCTCATGCTGTGCTTGGGATTGTCTGGTGCGCCCCACTGCTCATAGAAGTCCCTGAATCACTTTTACAAGAAGGTATGTGCCCAAGGCCTGCAGATCACTCGGAAGCCACTGCTGACTGTCCAGGTGCTCTCAGAAGAATGGGGCGGGGCTGACCACGGGGGGACTCTGACAAGTAGATGGATATGTGGGGGTAGCGGTACCTGGTTTGAGCTCTGTGTAGAAACTTCAGAGTACATCCGCAGTTCCTCTGTTCTGGGGAAAATCCAGGCCCGATTGGACCAGGGCCAGACTGAAATTTGCCTTTGGCATTCAAGCCCTTTATTGTTTTGGTTCTGTTCTCTGTCGAAGAGGTATGTCCTAAGTTGTTTTGCTGTGCATGAATCTCTTCAGTGAAAAAGGATGGCAAGGTCAAAGAAGATCTCTTCTCCAGGGGGAGGAGGCTCAGTGCACCTTATCCCACTAGGAGCTTGAATTCCACTGGTAGAGACAAGCCTGTTAACTTTGTTAAACCTGGTTTTCTCAAATGCCTTTGCCCCGAACCTCTCCTCGTTGCCCCATTCCCTTGTCCCCGTGCCCTCCACACCCCCCAGCCCTAAAACTGCGCTTCTTACCATTTCCTGGAGAAAACAGGATTCTGGACTCAGAGTGCTGTTTGCTTTACTGTTGCTCAGATCATGCCGACTACCAGATTTCACAGACTGCTCGGGCTTTTCCTTTTCCTAAATTGTTTTTTCAGTTTTAATTAGAACCTGCAAGGTCCTGTTCAGGATCCCCTTGGCCACAAAGCCTTCCGACCTTACTCCAGCTCACGAGAGTACATCCTTCCTCAAAGCTTCACAGAGCACCTCCTGTTTACATTGGCTTTAACGTATACTGCCTGGTATTTCAACATTTTTGTATGTACAGACCTTGCTCCCTTAGTCCATTCCATCAAAAGCAGGGACCACATCTTTTTGTACACTCTGGCACGTGAGCATTGGGGCGCTTTGATACTGCTGGATGATAGAGGGGATCTCTTTTTCGAAAGCAATTTTCAGTATAATTTTGTTTTGTTTTTTAAGATTGATTTATTTTAGAGGGAGCGCAGACAGCAGGAGGGGCAGAGGGAGAGAGACTCTCCAGCAGACTCCCTGCTGAGCACAGAGCCCGATGGCGGGGTTCAGTCTCACCACCCTGAGATCACGATCAGAGCCAAAATCAAGAGTCAGATGCTCAACCAGCTGAGCCACCAGGCGCCCCATCAATACAGTGTTGAAATAGTGTACTGGACATGTGACCTTCGGCTGTGTTAATTCAATAAGCATTTTGTAACTGTTACAGAATTAATATAACCTGTTCATTGTAGAAATGTTGAGATAACAACATGCAAAAAATGAGTTGTATTATCACACAATCCTACAGTAGGAGAGAACGTTGCGGTTATCCAAAATCCATCCTTCAGAATTCTCTGTGAGTAACCGATTTTGTTAACCACATCAAATGATGAAAAGCCTGGGTGAACATATTTGGAGATTCTGTGGGTGGTGTGATGTATGGTACATGCCGTGTGTCCTCGTGGCATTTACTCTGAGGAGGTAGCCTAGGTGTACTTTGAACTAATGGGTGGCTGGTCGTCTCCCAGAGCATTTGAAGCATGAATGCAAGAGATCTTACAGCGGTGCTGAGAGGAGCCTGGTGCTGGAGAATTCATGACAGATGGACACCCCCCCATTGTCATTCATACTGGGCAGGTGCTCCAAATGACTGGTGACAGTTTGAAAGTGAGCTGCTTCTCACATGGCCTCATTCTTTCGGCCGTTCCAGAAAGGCTGCAGGTGCCTGTTTACGTACAGCTAAGATGCTCCTGAGCAAGACCGGGGGCTGTGTTGTGCAGTTTCATACCATTTGGGTTACAGGGAAGAACCTTGGCTTATACACTTAATGTATTAGAAAGAGTCTCTCATTTGTTTCTTGCCTTTTTTTTTTTTTTTTTTAAGATTTTATTCATTTGACAGAGAGATCACGAGTAGGCAGAGCAGCAGGGAGAGGGAGAGAAGCAGGCTCCCCACTGAGCAGAGAGCTCGATGTTGGGCTCCATCTCAGTACCCTGGGACCATGACCTGAGCTGAAGGCAGTCACTTAACAACCAAGCCACCCAGGTGCCGGAAAAACATACATGTTTTTAAGTTGCAGAAATGGGGGGCGCCTGAGTGGCTTAGTCGGTTAAGCATCTGCCTTCAGCTCAGGTCATGATCCCAGGATCCTGGGATCAAGTCCCACATCGGCCTGTCTGTTCAGCAGGGAGCTGCTTTTTCCTCTGCGTAGTGCTCTGCCTGCTTGTGCTCCTCTCTGTCAAATAAGTAAAATCTTAAAAAAAAAAAAAAAGTTGCAGAAATGGTATACTGTTTCTATCTTGGAATGAGCCTGCCCCTATTCTCCAAGTGTGGTTAAAAAAATGTAGAAGGAAAGGGGCAAAGACAGGATCATTTGTAGGGAAACAGCAAAGCAGCAAGGTTGTAGAGTAGAGTGACTGAGCGATTGCCCCCTTTCTCCTAGGAGTGAGATTAGCCACCATCTTTCACTTCGGAAACACTTAAGCTATAAGGTCTATACAGCAGTTTCCTTTAAAAAATAGCCCCTGGCTGCCTCCATTGCTTTGGAACTGGCACCAAGAGAAACTCGCTGTTGAGCGTGGTGCCCACAAATGTGCTTTGGACCATTGAGTACAAAGGTATTTTTCCCTTGATCAAGGGTGTGTTGCAACAATGCTTATATATATTTTTTTATTTTTATTTTTTAAGTAAGTTCCACACCCAGTGTGGAGCCCAACACGGGGCTTGAACTCATGACCCTCAGATCCAGACCTGAGCTGAGATAAAGAGTTGGAGGCTTAACTGACGCAGCAACCCAGGCGCCCCAACATTGCTTTCATTTTTGAAGGATGCCCACAGAACTTGTGGGGTTGTCGTGGGATGTTGGCTTCTTAGTTGGGAAGTACTTTATATCCTGAGGGAAGGAATCCGACGGTCCGGGCAGCATTGTGATTTATGGCCAGCTGTCACGAGGCAAGTACAACACAAGTTAGCCTGCCCGATTCATAGAACTTAGGATTTGGCAACCGGCTTTCAGAACCTTACTTTAAATGAAAAGCAATTGGTTTTATTTTGTTGCTCTCCGTGAATACACCACTGGTGGTCTGACTTTCCGGAGTCACCTGACTTGAGCAGAGAAATGGAAAAAGAAATGTTTTGCTTTCCTTAGCTTTAATGCAGCAGCGTGTCACGCTGAAGGAATTGAGGGCTCATTTCCAGTGGTTTATTCCATTAACTAATTCCCCACGAAGTATTCTTTCACCTTTGACCATCCTGGCCCACAAACCTGAGGAAGCCATACAGGGTACACCCGGTCGTCTGGGAAGCCCCGAAGTTTGCTTTTCCAGTGTCGTAATGAAGTACCTTTCAGCCCCTTTATAGGACTGTGTTACAGGCTATTGCAGTAATTTAAAACCTATGTACCTAGACTCCTGAC